AGCATCTGAGGTAGTTTACATCCATCTAGGATGGGCAGCAGTATATATTCACAGTCTTGCTCCAGAGATATGCTAACTTGCCTGCTCTCTGTCATGATAAATCTAAAGACAACTGGCTCATTTGAACATTCCACCATATTGGAATGATGACACTAAGTTAATAGACCTAGTAAGTGAAAAAGTACTCTGGACAGTCAGCTAAGAGGGTGAAAGGTAACCAGTGACTGGAATATTGGTGAAGTTTTAAGAGTCCAGTGGTTTAGGAAAAGCCAATATCTCTTGCAAGGTAAAGAGTTACTGCACCTTGCACTTCCATTCCTAAATGAATAAAATGAATGAATAAAGCAGAATTTGCTAGACTTCTTTTGGTTTTAAAGGCAGTACATACTACACTTGGGAGTTTGGTTCTGACTCATATACGGTTCTTACCTAAAAAGTTCCCAGTTTTCAGTGGACCCCAGCCTAAGGCAAAGAAAAGTACTCCATAGCTGAGTCCAACTACTCTCTTCAGAATTCTGAGACTTCCTAGTGATAACAGAGCAATACATATGTTATATGCTTTTTCTTTTCCCAAAGAGTAGAAAACAAACCCTCTATTGTTTTCTATTCAAAACCCTCAAATATTCCATTAACAGAAAGTGCATAATCCATAGTGATCAATGGACTTATCTCCACCCTGGCTTCATCACATTACAGGCTTCTGACAGCAAGCAATTTTAGAAGGGACCAAGGTCAGTAATGAAAATGAAGAGTTGCGTACATGACTGACTTTGTTACATAAAAGAGAATTTTTTTAAAATGAGAAAAAGAGAAAAATGTCTTCATTACAAATGCAAATATAAAGGGATCAAGTTACTTTCTACCTTTTTTCCTCATTGTTTATGACTGCTCCCATCTATTAATGTAAAAGAGTAGCATATTCTTCAAAGATTTTTCAAGGTATTTAAATTCTAAAAAATGTTTAGTGTTTAAAATCAAGTGCTTTCAAGTAAAGAATATAATAAAATGTGATCTACATATTACATAAATCAAAACATGGCTTAATAAAAAAATCCACATTCATCTAGTTAATTTCCCATTGGCAAAGCATTTTCACATATATAATCAATGATTGTCTAATATATCTATAAAGGAGAAATAAGTGAATACTGTTATTCCTTTGGAGACTGAAACCACCAAGTACAGAGATTTTCTGCAAAGCCTCAAATAATTTAAAGTGAAGATGTCTCCTGATATACTTTATAAAATGTATTAGGCTCAACTGGTATACCATACAAAATAAGAATTTCTATTCTAATTTATTTGGACATTTTAAAGCATTTATGTGTGTTTATTTTTTAATATGTGTCAAGCTGTAGGCTGGGGCCTGGGGATTTTAAAATGAGTAAACAGTAGGCTCTGCCCTTAAGAACACATACATCCACACATGTATATACAAGGAATTATAACATAATACAATATGCTCTTGATATAAGCAAAGTACTTAACCAAATACAAAGTAATGATTAATTCTGAATGATACTATGTAAGACTTTACAGAAAATGTAATATATTTGATGAGACAGTTAAAGGAGGTTGGAAAGATGAGTTCTGGGTGCGAGGAAAGGAAAGTGAAGAACCAGAGAGAAATTCAGAGAAGCCTAAAAGCTTAGGGTGTTTTAGAGGAAGAGAAGAAGACATTACAACTAAGAAAGAAATGAGTTGTGAAGAGTGGTGGGCAATCATCTAGGTTTGTATTTTTTTAGAACATTAATTTTACTATAAATACTAGAAATCAAAATGCCCATAACATAAACATAAGACCTATCACATCCTCGCATTTTCAAAGTCTAGCAAATTATATGACACATTTTGTAATATGAAGAAGAAACACTTTTGACAAATTAACATAATATTTAAATGTGTATTGTATTTAATGGCATTTCTGCATTACGCTTCATGTATTACATTTGTTTTACATCTATGCATTTTATTACTTAAGGGATAAACATTTATATGAAGAACATCAATTTTCCGAAAACGCTAGGAGCAGCAGTCAGCATTTACTACTATTCTAAACAATCATTTTCATAACCTCTATTTAGGGAACTACATTTTAAGAAGAGAAAAAATGGGGGAAAAATAAAAGTAAAGATGGGTGTGGAGAAGTGAAAACTAGTGAGAAATTGCCTGGCGAATATCAATCACCTTCTAGTAGCAAAGTTTAAGTGCAACTAGATCTTAAGCATCCCTTTTATTTACAGCACCTTTTAAGAAGCTATATGAGAGCAGAGAGCTTACTAGTAAACTACAAGTTTGACACTCCCATACAATACAAGAATTTTCACCTCACTACCCATACATAATAGCAACAATATAACATCTGTAAACATCCTTTGTAAGCTGTAAAGGTCTTTTCATATTCAATAACAATAACACTTGCTTACTGAATAATTAAGACAATTAATTTTTAATAATTAAACAGGAATTATCCAATAAAAACTATTAAAGGGTATTCCAAGTGCTTATCCTGTATCAAGCACTGTGATAAATGCTCTGTATGCATTCTCTTATTTAATTCTTTCAACCACCCATGGGAGATAAGTAGTTTCCTCAATTTACAACTGAGGCAACTAACCTAGAAAGACAATCTGAGCTGACCAGGGAAATAAAGGAAAGTAACATAGAAACAGTAATATACAGATAACATAAAGAAGACCTGAATAGAAACAGTACTATTATCAAAGACCCAGATAATAAACATAAGAATCAAACAATCATAACAAAAACAAATAGCTCAATATACAAATGGACAAAGATTTGAATATACACTTCACCAAGAATATGTGGTTGACAGAAGGCAGGTGCAAACATACTTAGCATCAGTAATCATTATGGAGATGCAAATTAAAAACACATTGAAACACCAGCACACATTCATTAGAAATTTTTAAATTTTAATTAAAATTAAATGACTGACAATACCATGTGTAAACATAAAATGTAAAGGAACTTGAACTCTTACACTCTGCAGATGGGAATGTAAAATGGCATAATCACCTCAGAAAACAGTTTGGAAATTTCTTTAAAAATTAAACATATACCTATCATGTAATCCAGCTTTTCCTACAAGGTATTTTATCAAGAGAAATGAGAGCATCTGACCACAGAAAGACTAGTACAAGAATGTCTATAACAGCTTCATTTTAATAGCCAAAAACTATAACAACCAAAATGTCCATCATCAGATGAAAGGATAAACAAATTATGGTATATCCATACAATGGAATACTACTCAGCAATAAAAGGAACTACTGAAACAAGCTACAGTATAGATGGATCCTAAAATAATTATGGTGACTAAAAGAAA